CTACGTTGCCATGAGACCACACCAAATAGTTAAACAGCAGCAACCCATCACATCTACATTAAAGCACAAGGAAGCATTTTCCTAGTCAGGGGAGTGGCCTGAGCATACACAAGCCCTATGGGAAAGTCCCAACCCGGATATTTTCTTTGACTTCCAATAAAATTAGGGTTACTGTAAAGATACAATTAAAGAATCAGTTCATTGATGATGGCTTTGTCTCACATTCCTCCAACCTAGAAAGTGGCACAAAGATTTGAAGTACTCTCTTCTTGTTCTGAACAAAGACTGAGAGCCCTCCTGTAGGGCCCCCACTATACTGGCATTTGGCCCAGCTGCCAAATCTCAAATGTGTCCAGGATCCATATGAGGAAAGCAATGCTAGTTTTAATCTTCATCATGCTGGATTAGATTAACTCCTTGGCCTTGATAGCTCAGCCATATCTCATAGACTGATTGACCAAAGGCACTTTGGCAGTAAATTGCCACATCCTGTGATACAATAAAGCAGGACTCATTATACCTGGTAAAGAAAGAAACTCTGAAGCTGCATAGAAAATGAGCCACAGAAAAGGAAACCTTGGGGTCTAGGAATGTTTGGTACCCTGTTGCTAACTCAAGAGATTGTGGTATGCAGAAGTGCAAAAAGCTAGAGCAGTGGTGATTTCATACCTACTGGAAAAGACCATCTGGCTGCTCACCAGCTGTTCCTTCTAGCACCAGATTAAGGGTTTCCCTTCATACAATAACTCAGAGTGCAAATAGAAGAAGAGCCTTCGAGGGCGTCAATCCCAGATTCCTTTCATGTTATAGATGGGAGAACCAAGACCAGAGAGAGGATGTCACTCAGCTAGGGAGAAGCAGAGTCACATGGAGAAATGAAATCTCCAGATTCCCACTCCATTATTCCTCTCATCACATGATTCTCTGGTCCCTGGAAAATATTCACAAAGGATTATTTTCCATAGAGAGGAAGTAGAGTTATAATAATCAAAACTACTGACTTTGTAGACAGAGTGACTCAATTCTAATCCAACTCTAGGAGTATAAATTATGCGACCATGATCAAAGTACTTAACTGCTCTGTTCTTTAGTTTCCCCATTAATATAATGGCAATGCCAATAACACATAGCTCAGAGGGTTATGAAGGTTAAATGAGTTAATATATGTTTAGCATTTAGAATCATGCTTGTCACATAAAGAGCACAATATGAATGTGTGTTATCATCATCATCCTGAGCAAACTGAACAGCCTTTATATCTACTAAGTCACCTCCTAGTTTCTACTCTTTGGAATACTCAACTGAAGCTGAACTGAGGCTGTGAACCCCCTGCCTGATCAGCACTGAAAATCTTCTTGCAGCTGCCACACTCCATGAGAAACATATCTCTAAATGATGCCTCCTTTTCTCTCCATACATCATCCGTTTATGCTTTGTTTTCTTATATATTTATTTTCTTTTGTTTTAGAAATAAGCAACCTTGTGCTATAGCATGCCCACAGAAATGCTTAAGCCCACTGGTAGAACTTGGAATAAAGTTATTTCTGCACTAAGATATCTGTCTCCCAAGAGTAGAGCTTATTAGAGCTTCAATTGTTTCTTTCTTTTTTTGTTTTTTAAGCTGAGCCATCCTGCCACCTCTTGGCAGCTCAGCAGCATCTCAGCTCCGGCCCATGTGGGAATCGAACCGGAGACCCAGTTGCTCAGAGCTCACACTCTTGGGCGAGCTCTTAACAAACTGAGCCACTCTGCCAGCCCTTCAATTGTTTCTTAAGTTAACATCAACACAGTGAATTAGATGAAGACACACCACACACACACACACACACCTAGTTTAATGTGTCATATGTATGTATGCAGATACATAAATGGTGTGATAAAACTCTATGGTGCATGCTGCTGCCCAGTGCCATTCATTGGAAAGGCAGGGATCTCCAATATGAGAAGTGGTGTTGTCGACAGTTAGTAACTGTGTGACAAGTTTCAACTTGTTTGATGCAGTCAGTCGGGTGTGAACTATGGTTGAGAGAAGACCGTAAAGTGTTTTAAAGTGTGCCTTAAATCATGGATCACGAACAATGCGTTAACATGAAATTTTGTTTCAAACTGCAAAAATATGCTAAAGAAACATACAAAATGTTAAAATTAGTTTATGGTGATGCTGCAGTGACCATGAAGATGGTTTACAAGTGGTTTGAGTAATTTCACAATGGTTGTGAAGCAATTGAAGACAAGGAGCGATCTGGGTGTCCTTCAACACCAAAATCCCAAGAGAATATTGAAAGAGTAAGCGAAATGATTTGATCAAACAGAAGATTGGCTATTAGGGAAATTTCTGAGGATCTGAACACCTCTTATGATTCCATTCAAAGCACTTTAACAACAGATTTGAACATGAGGCGACTGAGTGCAAAATTTGTTCCATACATTTAGACTGTCAAACAAAAGCAACAGCGTTCGTCAGTTTTGTTGGAGTTGCATGACCATGCTCCTTCAGATTCCAGCTTTTTAAGACATATCATCATAGGAGATGAAACTTGGGTCTATGGTGATGATTCTGAGACCAAGATTCAGAGTTCTCAATGGAAATCACCCAGTTCTCTTTGTGTGAAAAAAGAGAATCAATCAAGATCTAACATCAAGGTGATAGTAATTGTGTTTTTTGACCTTGACGAAATTGTGTGAGCTGAGTTTGTACTAAGGAATGCTACGATGAAATCTGAATTATAAGGGCTTATTAGAGGGTTTAAGAAATGATGTGCATAGAAAACAGCTTGAGAAATGGGCAAACTGTTTCATGCTCCATTATGACAATACTCCATGTCACACATCACTTCTGGTACAGAAATTTCTGTCAAATAAAAACATTATGGTGTGTCCTCATCCACCTTATTCACCGGATTTGGCACTCTGTGACTTCGGGCTCTTCCCCAAAGTCAAAATGACCATGAAAGATAAACATTTTGAATCGATTCAGGACATCAAGGCAGCCACGACATGCAACTAAAGACACTCACAAAAGAATACTTTCAGAACTGCTTCAGAAAGTGGCAAGACTGATGGGATAAGTGTGCTTAAAGCAGGGGGTATATTTTGAGGGGGATTAATGGCAATATGTCTTTTACAGTAATAAATTTGTTTATATTTAAACATTCACCATATTTTTTATCACACCTCATGTATACATACATATATATGTGTATATTTATAAGGAATGATACACATAAAGACACATGGGCTTTATAAATCTATATTGCTCATTTTTAATAAACTCATTTAAAATTCTAAATCATTTACCTTTTTCAGAAAATATTATAGAAAATTACATTGAGCTTTAACTTAGGCATTTTCCAACTCAGTATATTCTGTAGGCCAATATGATTCCTTAGGATATATGTCTGGACTGATGGAGGCCCCAGAGTCAGGCTACTTTCCATAAATATATATATGAAACCTACATGAAGACCATAGCACTGAGCTCGGGCATTTATCTTGCCCTTGTCTGTAAATACTCTATAAGAAAAATGCAGAGAAATATGAGCTAGACTCTTAAGCTATCATGTACAAATGATTTTTTAGTCAATAAGAGAATTGTGCACATTGTAAATCAGAGGAAGAGAAGTTATCCATGTTAAAATCCCTGAAGTTGGAATAGTTGCGTGCTCACTGCTCAAGTGAGAGACCTGTACTTCCCCAAGCAAAGCTTTGCATCAGTCCTTTCCTAGACAAGGCACAGATCCATGCCATTAGGTTGACAAGCAAGCCAACTGATTGGGTCTTATCTGAGGAGACCCTGCACCATCTCTGTTTTTAAAAGCAGTCATGCTCGTTTCCAATACACCAGTTTCCTTCCAGAAAGACGGTGTAATCCTGGTTTGAAAAGGTAAACGAGGCATGCTTGTCTTGCCTGCAACTCCTTCCTTTTGTTATTGGCACTATGGGAATGACTCTTGATGGCTTATAATCCCTTGGTTTGTACTTGCTTTTGCTTCCCGTAGAATACTCTTTGCTTGCTAGCTACTGGTCTTGCTTATGACCCTAAATTCTTATGACTTTTAAATGAAGGTGAGAGGGGCACAGAGGCAGAGTTAGACATTGACACATCTTTCCTGGGCCCTTCGAACAGGCTAGGACAATCCTACTTCCCATGGTTTGTCTTCTCAAGGGTTAGCAGCTGAAAAGAAAAGGATAGTACTTGTGAGTCTATGGTCTTCTTCAATGGAATGTGAATTATTCACTAGGGTTGTGTAAAGGGCCAGAGGGAGGGATCAAGAAAGAAAGAGGTACAGGGAGAACTCCTTCAGGCTGAATCATTAGGTGGCAGTTTGGATTTGAATGGTTGAGTATTCTTTGTTGCTTTGGGAGAGGCACCACTGGGATAAGCCCAATCACAGTCTTTAGAAGTCTTGAATAACATTATTCATTCTTCCTCAGCTACTTCAGAAGGAACCTCCACAATACCTAAGTTACACAGGATGGAAAGTCTGCTACATCAACACCTAGACTCCTCATAAAATGTTGCTCACGAATGTTCCCATTCCTTTTTCCTTCTTTCCCCTTTTAGCTTGTCTGCATTCTGGACTCTCTCCTGCCCCCAATGCCTTTCCTTTCCACTCTCATCCCTGTCCGTCCAGAATGTCATCTCCAAAGACAAAACACAATTAGGGATAGTGCTTATGAAATGACCATCAGGTCCTGCCCTCTCTGTAGCTCTAACTTTTCAGTCCATGGGCCTGATTGCCATTTCCTCCTTCTACCCTTTTATTTTTTAACCCTCATCTTTCAGACAGTGGCCAAGGCATCCCATTGATTTGCCCCTTGGGGTTTCTAAATACTCCCCGTGGGAACTTTCCATTTGTCCAAACTTAGAGGGTCAGTGGTGGGGGGTGAAAGGTGGGGAATGCTCACAGAAAAGCATGTCTATATTTTTGCTCATCAGGGAATAAGTACGGTACCTTTGGGTGCATGCTAATGGGTCTGTCTCTCTTTCCCCTACACAGGGCCTGGAGCAGTCATTGATGGTGTAAACTCGGCTTCTAGAGCACTGGCTTGTCTCTGGCTATCAGGGACCCTCTTTGTCCACTTCTTCATCAAGTTTTGATAAGAAAACATAGGTTCTCTGAGCAACGCCTGCTTCTCCATATCACAGACTTTAATCTACACTGCGGAGGGCAAAACAGTTTGGGCTTCTTTCTGTTTGTTTGTTTCTGTTATTCTTCTTGATTTTTTTGATTTTTGGGTTTGTTTTTTTTCTTTGACTTTTATTTTCCAGGTTAAATGAATGGGGTTGAGGGAGGGGTGGACAGGGTTCTACTGTGTGTAGGATAATCATTCACTGGTGTGTCCAAAAGTGGAATCTGTTCCTGCTACCTTGGCCCTTCCCTTTCCTCTACTTCCCTCCCCACCATCACCACCACCAATCTCTCCTCCCCCTCCTCCACATTAAAACATAAGCTCCATTTGGGAAAAAAATGTGCCTCATGATTAACACCCTAAAGACACAACTTGAGTTATAATGTAATGCACAGCAAGAGTTATACCCAAGTGTTCTATTACCTGTGTCTTTTAAGCTTTGGACCATTTTCTTGACTACAGTGTATATATCCTTATCGCCATGTTTATTATTATCTAATTGCATTAGAGTTCACATCCTTTCTTTCTGCCATGTTATCTCAGTATATATATATATATAATTTTGCCATCTTCTCTAGCCACTCTACTCTATTTGTGTTCCTCACCAGCTATAAAGATTAGAGGTTTGGGGCTATTCACACAACCCAACACTAAAAATTTAGAAGTCAAATGACCAAAATGGGGGGAGGCATTTTGAGAATAGTGATTCTCTTTAAAAATGCTGTCCAACTCATAAAAAATGATTCCTAGATGGCTGATTATTTGGGTTTTATCAAGCTATTTATCAAAGTAATCATATGATTATCCATCTACTCAATTGTCTGATTTACCTCTCTATTCAATTATCTATCCACCCATCTTCCTCTCTAGCAATCTATTTACTCTACTTACCAATCTATCAATGTAATTATCTAACACTTCTTTCTATTTCTTTCCCCACTATTCATTATCAATTCATCACCATATTAATGTCTAATTATATTGTGTCTTTTCTATTGTATTCATTTCTCTTCTACCTTCAGCAGACATTGGCATCTTCAAAATTATCTATCAGCTTCTCAAATGAAAGCCAGTGATCTCACAGGCTAACAACATAGAAAAGCAATATGTCATGGACTCTTTGGAACATGGTATCCCATCTTCCCAAAGTAGATGCTGTTAGCAGATGGACCAAAGTAGCAATGTAATGATCAGTCACTCACTATTCCCAGAAGAGACTGTGTTTTCCAAAACTTCTCGGGAAGCAGATCAGCCCTGGAAAGCCTTGATTAGTACTGTCTTTTTTTCTTTTTTTTTCTTTCACACTTGAAGGACCAAGGTGCCAGCCTTCATGCTTCTCTCAGCCTTTCAAGAAAGTGTATGTCAGGAACCTATGGGACATACTCCATTGCTGGCTTCTCTTAATAGCAAGAACATAAATTGTAAATAAAAACAAAACAAAACACACACACACACACACACACACACACACACACACACACCTGTCTGTGGAATATGAAGAGAGCAGTCCACCAGTCTGAGTGTGATGACTTCGGCTATTGTCTCCTCTTTGCTCCAGTTTTGGTTTAATATGTTTGAAAACTATCCAGTAAAAAGCTGATGACACCAATTACATGGCGGGTGTGTTGACAACTCTAATATTTGTTTCAGGAAACTCTTCTGAGCTGAGGGCACTTGAGCAACTGACTTAATTTCTAAGCACTTGATTAACACAACACTGCAAACAGAAGGGGGAACGTGTAAGTGACACACAATTTCCTCTGATACAGGCTGCCTCTCCACTGGTTTGGGGGAAGAATTCCCTCAGCTCTCCATGTTCAAGCAGATCCCACATATAAACAAGAGCTGACCTGACATTTCTTCATTATCTCCTGAGACAAGAAGGATTCAGCCAGCAAAGGTGCCTGTGATCCAAAAGAATGGCATTGAAAACCACACAAGGTTGTACTCCTCTTGACCTGTGCTGCAGGGACTGACCTACTGAGAGGATGAGAATAAAGCACCAACAATGACTAGCTCACAGACATGCCTGCCTCAATTGGAAAACTCTTTCAGGCCCACACTCAAAAATATTATGTGTGTGTATCTCTCTCTCTCTCTCTCTCTCTCTCTCTCTCTCTCTCTCTCTCTGTGTGTGTGTGTGTGTGTGTATACACACACACACACACACACACACAATGCCAAAAATATGTATACATCATAAGAAAAGAAAAAACTGTGTTAAAATTGTAATACTCAATATATACTGATCAAAAGATGAACATAAGTCATGTGTATACATTTTTTTGGCACCCCTGGTATACACACACACACACACACACACACACACACACACACATAAAATACAAACCTAGGATAGGCTTTTTTTGGCATACAAAAAGCTAAGCACTTTCATAAGAACTGGTGTGAGTGAAATTATTATTACATTTGCCAGCTGTAGACAGACATCTGCATTTCCTAGTGAGCCTCCAGGAGCCAGATTCTGGGAACATAAATGATGTGCCAAAAGCAGTGTATTGATTCCAAGTTCCAGGGACAATTATGAGCAGACGCAAAGTCATAATTAAAGGTTGGACATCAATGCTTAGATCTGTCACCACGTTCAGCACCTGGAGTAGGGTTGGTGTCAGACATTGTATGAGAATTAAATGTGTCATTTGAGTGTTCTACTGATAATAAATTTGTTACTTTGGAGTAAAGTAAATGTAGAAGCTGTGGGGAGTGGGTAGTCTTGGAGAACACGGTGCTTGAAATGGACAAGCTATACATGTTCTTCACTCCAAGACTTGTTCTAGAGGAAGGGGTCCATTCTCCTTTGGCCAGGAAGATCACCAGAACCTTTTGAACAGAGCAAGGTACTCGGTCTCAGAGTCACTATAAAACTCAGCACTACCCTCTTCCACTGGACACCATGAAGAACCTCTGGTAGTTACCTATTCCAGCCATATTTCAGAGGGGGGAAAAAATCCTACAGTCAATCCTAATCTGTCTGGGATAAATCAACCAAGTAAATAAGACCCAAGAAAACTGGGTGCTGGGAAAGAAAATTGCTCTTCTTCACAACAGACGTACCCCAACTTTGGTGGTATTGGGGTTACTTTGGTGGGGATGGCTCCATATGACATAGCTGTTCCCCAACATTTTGAAGCATACAGAACAGTAAATGTTCACTAAAGACACACACTTACACATGCTCTTTCAACTTTACATATGGAGGGTAGATGGATAAGACTTGCTGGACAGAGTTTTTTCAAGGTGTCAACGGTGGGGGGGAAGTTGGGGTAAAGGAAAAAACAATAGACACGCCTCTGAGCAACCTATAGTTCTTCACGGGTTTTCCACATGGGAAGAAGACCAAATAAGGAGATGAGGTGAGAGAAATTCAGCAATTTAATTACTCTGAAGCCCTTCCCCTTCCCAAAATAAAGTTAATATGTAGTTCCACCAAAGTAATGCCATTGAAAGTGCTAGTGTTAAGGCTCTGGCCAAGCTTGTTTTTGAGAAGTTTAATGTCAAGTGCCTGATACAGTTATCTACAAGTATAAACAAGTGTGTTTAGTTTTTCTCATTCTTGTTTTAATCTGGGGAGGGGAGGCATATAGAAGAATGGACATATTTTATCCCTCGAGCATTGCGCACTGTTGTTGGGCTGCAACTGTGCTCCACTAAATAGAAGGAAAGGTAAAGCTTTGTATCAAAAAGAGGACTGGGCCTCTTTCCCCTGAACCCATGCTCATACTTGACAACACATTTTCAACACATTTCCACTCAAAACCTGGATGGAAATGTGCTCTGGGACTCTAGAAACTCCACAACCCAGGATGAGTTTGAAGATCTGTTTCTGCATCAATCCAGTCACTTTGCACTCAACGTGGAGGAGTTAGCAAGTTCTACCTATGTTGAAAGGACTCCTAAATGAAAAGCATAGAGAATCTCAAGGTGGGCAATAGACCCCAAAGTGAGCTTATCACTGTCATTGCATCAGGAGTGGCTATAAATTGAATACCCTAATTTTGGTCAATGCTTCCAGTGCCATTGAGAACATCTGCTCCTCTGTAGTTGTGTATGGATGTCATCAGCCCCATCAGTAGAAGGATGGAAGGAATGACTCAAGGTGAGGAGAGCAATGGGGGTGGGGTTATCTTTCCCAATTTCACTCTGAGTCCTCACCAGAGAAAATAATGGCTTTGCAATGCCTGGAACCAGCCCTCTAATGACCCCCATCCCCCATCACACACACACACACACACACACACACACACACACACACACACACATGGAAAGCAAAGTTTAATCTCTTCGAAATGAGAGGAAGCAGCATAATTTTTTTCTTTCTGGCAAAATTCATTTTTCCTCCAACAAGAAAAATCTTTTGTCTCCATTTTGCACGAGCCGTATACCTAGACACGCTTACACCCAATTGCCTCCCCTCCCACGATCCAAAGATACACTCTCTTTTTCTTTTAAGACAAATAAGTTTGAGCAGTTGCAGGAAAACTTCACAGGTGTGTAACTAAGAAGGAGACATTTTCAAAAAGATAGCATATGATGAGAACTCCTAATGATCACTAAAAGCAAACAAATAAAAATGCCAGTCTCATTTCCCTCATTTCTTATTTCAGAGAAGAGAAGTAAATGAAAAGAGGAAGAAGTAGATCTGTAATTAAAAGATGTGGCAAAAAGATAGGGCTGAACGAGTGCAATTTAACCTTCAGGTGCAGAATACGGAGAGTCCAAAGGAATGCGGAGTGGACTTAATTAGACACAATTGTCTTCATCCTGAAAGTAGTCAGCTAAGCCTAATTTCTAGTATTTTGCAAGAGGTTCCTTTTGGTTTCTTTCAGTGGTGCCCTTTTAAAGGCACACAGTTAGTTCAGTTGTTCCACACCACTGAGTGGAAAAAGAAAGATTGTGAACTGTCTACTATCCTTTCTCGGCCACTTTCTATGTTATTGGCAGATTTATAAGAATATCAATAATAGCAATGATAAGTAATAATAGCTGCCCTTGTGTGTGTTAGAGGGAGAATTTTTAATCATTGAAAATTTTTGTGACATGTAAAGTGCAGTTGTGAGGTATGTGTGGGTGTACGAAAATGTATCTGTCAAGTTCAGAGTCCTATAGATTAAAAAAAATATGACTTATCAATGGTGCCGTTATAGCTGTGTCAGACAATGGGTGTGCCCATTCTCACAATTATCCTTAAATCTATGTTCAAATGCTTTAAAAATTTATCACATGATACAAGAATATGACTTTGTCAGCCTTCTAGAGTTCTTTTTTCTTTTGTTTTCTTCCATATCTTTTCCTTCAAAAATCAACAACGACTTGATTTCTGTCAATAATTGTATTAAGGGTGAATATACTACCTGAATTTTGTGCATGTTACATTGTAGTTGTAACCTTTTCTAATTCAGGATGAATACAAGATGGTTGTGATTGTGCAGTGTATCAATAAAGTTTGAAGAAATTTGTAATTTTGGGGGGGGCTGTTTATTAGGATATTTCATTGAGTATCCAGGAATGGAGAAAAGTGAAGCAGAATATGCTTGTCCTATATGTGTGTTTTAGGTTTTGGGTAGTATATACAATCAGAAAACTGAGTTGCTTCTCTCTCTCTCTCTCTCTCTCTCTCTCTCTCTCTCTCTCTCCTTTCTTGCTCACACACACAGCATTGAAGTCACGCTAAGTGCTTTCCATGTTACACCTGTATGTTAAATATATATGTCATTTACAAATAATATAAAATGTAGCTGCAGCCTCGAAGCCTAAAAAATATTTATTGACCTTGGCTAAATGGAAGCAGAAAAGAAATTTCAGAAAAATAATAGCCAGACACTCCTCAGTTTGGGCAGTCTATTCCTTAATAGTTCCTGCAGCTTGATTCTACTAAATTAAACACAACTTTGACAAGAGTATGAGAAGATATGATGACTATGGTATACTTATTCTTAGAAATATTTGCCGTTGATTAATTGTTCTCTATATTAGGTTGTACTACAGTATACTATGGGTAATTGCACTACAAAGAGACCTGGAGAAGAAACTCCATTCCTCTGATCGCCTTTTCTAAAACATCTTTCTCTGTCATTAAAACTCTGGCTCCTCCACCTTCATCAAACATTTATCTGCTTTCCTGAAGGAACAGATATTAACCTCTTATGTACAACTCTGCTTCTCATCACTCATTTTTATATCAACTAGCCTATCCTACTTCTACCATTAACTAGATATGTGACCTTGAATTGATCTTCCTAATGCCTGTTTCCTCATCTGTACCATTTGTGAATTTCCACCCCTCAATGTGTGAGTTCACAATTTTCTGGACAGTTTTTGTTTCTCTTTCAATCACTGGGTTTCTCAAGACTTTCTCCAAATAAAGCTCAGAGACAATGGCTGGTTATGGTTTGAGAATTCAGCAGAAAGGGGTTAAGATTCTTCAGTTGATATTACAGCATGGCTAGCACCTCTGGCCAAGACTCTGAGCTACAGTTATGAGGTTTGTTTCTTCTTGGCTTCTTAGGTAGACAAGGGCTAATCCCTGACCTCTCAGGACCCTCTGTCCTTCACAGGGAATAGAACACAGCTAACTCAATAAACTATATCATAATCTTTGTAAATTAAAATGCCAAGGAAAGGTAGGTACCAGTGAGTGAGAGTTTCCAGTTTCCTCAGGCTCATAATAAAATCATGACTTGTCGAGGAAATAGATTTCCAGATACTCTAACCATCTTCATACCTTTAGTGAGTGCTCTTTCTCGCTTCTCCTATAATCTTCCTTTTAATCAGCCTCTTCCCATCCACACCTGACCCTCTGCTGTTCCTGTTCATACATGCCACATTTACCCATCCATCTGCTCTCCAGCTGGCATAGACATTTACTGGTCTTTCACTCCATCTGGCCACTCAGCTCCATCAATCATCAATGTACCAATTTATTTCTCCATCAGCTAACCACTCACCTCTTCATTCATATATTATGTCCCCCATTTATCTAACCCTTATTCCATCTATACACTCATGCACCTCCCTAATGTGACTGTTCACATCTATTTATTTAAGCCATCTATCCATTCTTCACCTGTCAATCCATCCACAAATCATCCTCCAACTAGCCTTTGGCAGGCATACCTA